CCCGAGGGATGTGTGCACAGACTTCTCCAGTCGAGTGAGTATGGCTTGGCTGATCCTCGGATTCAGGATCACGTCAGGGTCACCAGCTGTTGGGATTCCATGCAGGAATGACACAAGCCGAGACGGAATGGGGGCGCAATGCTTGAGGGGGTGTTATACCCTCTGCCTTTTTATTACCAACTTGTTTACAGGAATCTGGATGTTGTTCATCATTCATTAACTGTCAGAAGATGCTTTTTCCTGTTTCAGGCTCAAAGGTCAGAGTAAGCAAACAGGACACAGGAAACCAGCCAAGTTACTCATTAAGTTTACTCACTAGAGTGCAGACTAGCGAGGTTATTGTATGTTTACTCATTAGGCTGTGTGTAAATCTCAGCCAGGTTTAGTTATTAAATGCAGCCTATGTTTCATAGAGGGAAATATGAGATTTTCATGGTGTGCCAGTGAAAATCCCCCACAGATACCACTTTAATTGCCATGACTCAGTGTGACAGAATTCTGAGATTTGTACTCTGACATGGAAGTCTAAATATTTCACAAAACTACAAATCCCAGAATTCCACAGCGCTGAGTCATGATAACTAAAGTGGTGTCAAACTGCTTTATTTCTGCAGTGTAGATACACCAACATTCAATGTAGTACACCATGCTGGCTCTTAGTTACTTCCTTATTATATCATATATTCAATTAACAACTGACTTTTGAACACTGAACACAAATGCCCAATACATCCAAGTACAAAGTGTGCTAACGCATCTATGTACAGTTTGGGATCCTATATGGCAGTGCTGTTAGCCAAAGGTGAAGCACTCTGAGAGTTGCCCTAATGGTGAGACTTGGTGAGAGACTGTCTTAGGAGCCAGGAAGAAAAGGTAAAGAGGTTTCTGATTGATAGCCAACATGTTGTTTGTTTCCAAAAAGGGAAAAGAAAGGCAATTGCAAGCAACAAGAAAGCTGTACGGGAGGCAAGAAGATACTGAAAGATGATTAATGGCACCAACTGCAGCCATGCCTGGCCATTTAGGGGGGTTGCAGACTGCCAGAAATAGTGCAAATTGAGTCACTTTTAGGGTTAGGGTTAGTGCTAGGGAAACATGGTAACTGTATTTTATTGTGGACCAGAGCTCTCTGACAGAGAAGGCTCAATGTCTCAGAAAAAAACAAAACAAAAAACAATTCCCATGATTCCCTAGCACTAACCCTAACCCTAAAAGTGGGCTCAATTTGCACTATTTCTGGCAGTCTGCAACCCCCCTTAGTCAAAATTGCATTTTAGAAGGGACCCTACTTCAGAGAGAGAAAATCAGCAAGGAACTCAGGCACAAAATCAAACAGCTGCCCTAGATTTATAACCAGTCAGCAATTCAAGGCCTGATATCACTGTGTGCACATAAGTATTTCCAAGCACTATGGTCAGCTCAGTGCTGTATAGGATGTTGCAATAGCCATATGTATATACGCAGTTGCTAATGCCATTTCTGGCCAATTCTCATACCATTGACAGAAATTTCAAATGGAAGAAGCAACAGGTAACAATAAGAATGCTAAATTGTGATGTTTGTGTACTGAAAACTGTGTAGAGAAAGTAACCATATGTTAAATATGGTTAGTAGGAAAGTACAGTAACATCTAAAATCCACAAAACAGTGATACAGTTATCTGGCCACTGAACATGCACAAAATACATGATGCAAGTTTTCAAAGCTCCACTGGCTTCTTCATCAAGAATCATTCAGGAGAAAAACTGAGGTATATGATAGTGTGGGATATTGCATAAAGTGTACTTGCATATGGATGGTGCTCGGTTGAGAGAGTGACTATATATATATATATATATATATATATATATATATACCTATGAGTATATCCACATGGATATAATAACAGTAACAATAATAATTAATATTTTTATTTATATACTAGAGGCGAAAACAGTAATATCCACCTATATTGCCATTTCTACGGGGTCATTCATTCTATACTCTCTACTTCTGTTAAGTGGCTCTAATAGAGGATAGGAAATCAGAGATCACTTTCAGAGTGGCTACATTTTGTGGGGCTGCTATAAAACTAAGGAGACAAACAGTGAGTGATCTTAGTGAATAATGCTTTAGCATATATATTTTAATTAATTTTTATTTGTATCTACTACGTAACTTCCACATTTCAGACATGTCATGGGATGCTGATTTTGCTGTCTCTATACGCTCTGTATGTTTTGGTCTGTGACTGAAATAAATGAAATAAATCAATTCATTCATGTTTACATCACAAGATAATTGAACTCATTATGGTAAATTAGGAACCAGCTGTAGAAAAGGTGAATGCTTCTGTGTCTTTTAAAACTGGGAAAAGGAGTGTTGGTGAGTCCAGGGCTTCTTCCACAATGTACTATCATAGCACTATGATTCTACTTTAACTGCCATGGAGAAATTTTTGGAGTTGAGGAAGGGGCACATAGTTTTTGTGGATTTGGCTGCTAGAAACAGTCCAAATGTATTTTGTGCCTACATCTGTGAATGAACTATTCAAAAGTACATTCATTGTTTTAAGACAAACTTTCTGGACCACAGCCAGTAGCATAAAACAACCATAATGATGTAATGTAGGCATTGTTATGAATTGACAGTAATGATTTTATCATCATCAGAAACAGGATGAAAAAGTCTTTAACATGGGAGTCAGTCCAGCATGAAAGACATTACAATACATCATTTTTAAAGATAGCTGATAAAGATGATTAATCTCCTAATTAAGTTGTTATTCTCTTTCTACAAAGGCATAAATGAGAAATGGATGACTTTTTCATGTTACAGTAACAATGTGGGTCAGTTTAGACATGGCACTAAATTTGGGAGTTACACCAAAAATGGCAACCACTTGTCCCTCTCTCTTCCTTTGCATCCCCGTAACACCTAGACCAGTGTGATATAGTGGTTTGAGTGTTGGACTATGATTCAGAAGACCACGGTTTGAATCCCCGCTTGGCCACTAGGTGACCTTGGGCAAGTCATACCCTCTCAGCTTCAGAAGGTGGCAACGGCCAACTCCCTTCACCTTAGGGTCACCATACATCAGAAACGAATTGAAGGCATACAACAACACAACACCAGCATCTAGTAGAAACTGGGTCATAACCTGACTCATTATCATCTGTATTTCCCTCCCCCAATGCTATATCATTGTGAGAAAAGTGAAATGCTATGATATCTGGGCGTGAGCATATTTTAATTAATAGAAATGAGAAAACTGACCCAGCATTTCCTGGACTGAGATTAAGGTGAATGAAGCAAATGTTTGGCTGGTAACCTCTTGCTGTTATGCACCTTCAGAACTGACTTTGACTTATGGGGACACCAGTGTGGTGTAGTGGTATGAGTGTTGGACTACAACTCTGGAAATCAGGGTTTGATTCCCTGCTCAGCTATGTAAACCCCACTCAGTGACCTTGGGTGAGTCACGAAGAAAATTCCATGATAGAATCATAGGGCCTACAGACTGCCAGAAATGGTGCAAATTGAGTCCACTTTAACTGCCCTGACTCAGTGCTAAGGAATCATCAGAACTGTAGTTTATTGTGGCACCAGAGCTCTCTGGCAGAGAAGACTCA